ATCGGAAGAAATATCATCAGTTTCTGTGGGTAATGCTTTGATTACCATGTATTCTAGATCTGGAAGCATCAAAGATGCTAGGAAAGTATTCAATCGGATATGCTCCTACAGGGATACATCGACTTGGACTTCCATGATTTTGGCTCTAGCTCAACATGGTCTTGGAAATGAGGCCATAGAACTGTTTGAAAAGATGCTGAAAGTTAACTTAAAGCCTGATCACATTACTTATGTTAGTGTGTTGTCTGCTTGCACACACGTGGGATTGGTAGAAGAAGGTAAAAGTTACTTTAATTTGATGAAAAGCGTTCATAACATTGAACCCACCTCTAGTCACTACGCATGCATGATTGACCTATTTGGACGTGCTGGATTGCTTGAAGAAGCATATGATTTTATTAGAAATATGCCTATTGAACCAGATGTTGTAGCTTGGGGTTCACTTTTGTCTTCTTGCAGGGTTCATAAAAATGTGGATTTGGCTAAAGTGGCAGCTGAAAAATTGCTTCTTATTGATCCCAATAATAGTGGGGCTTACTCAGCGCTTGCTAATACACTTTCAGCCTGCGGTAAATGGGAGGATGCTGCCAAGGTTAGGAAGTCAATGAGGGACAGGGCAGTAAAGAAAGAACAAGGATTCAGTTGGGTTCAAATCCAGAACAAAGTCCATATTTTTGGGGTTGAAGATGCTCTTCACCCACAAAGAGATGCAATCTATCGTATGATTTCAAAAATATGGAAGGAGATCAAGAAAATGGGCTTTATTCCTGACACCAATTCCGTGATGCATGACCTAGAGCAAGAAGTGAAAGAACAGATCCTTAGACATCATAGTGAAAAACTCGCCATTGCATTTGCATTAATAAATACTCCAGATCATACTACATTGAGGATCATGAAGAATCTTAGAGTCTGTAATGACTGCCATTCCGCCATAAAATATATCTCTATGCTTGTGGAAAGAGAAATTATAGTAAGGGATGCAACGCGTTTTCATCATTTTAAGGATGGTTCTTGCTCCTGTCAGGATTACTGGTAGAAGAAACAGTTCAATTTCGTGTAGACTACAATTTGACCAGTAATTTACAACCACATTCACCAGAAAGCATAAATTTGCCATCACTTTTAGTTGGCCATAGGCCGAGAATTGTCTCTTAGCCCCTGTTTGTTTCGGGAGATTTACTGTTCACGACAAACGAAAGGTGAAGAAACTTGACGTTTGTTTCCGTTGATTTGCACCGAAAGAAAAGTGAAGAAAAGCGGAAGAACCTGCATGACCATTCTTCGCGAAGTTGTGAAGAAAAGAGATGAAAGCCACGTAAGAAATGAGAAAACTCGATAATACCCCTGCCCAAAAGTTGAAAAGAGATGAAGCTCTGCCATGCTCATGCATGCAGAGACTGTGCCATGCAGCAGAAGAATCTCTATCATGGTTCATGGGCCTTTGTCCTTCGTTTGAATGGCATGGTGACGCGTTTGAAATGAGGCTGAATGGGTCTCACTAGTCACGCGTTTATAAGAGACTTGGAAACTTTGTGTGTGCTGTGTGCTCGTGCGAGGGTGGTTGTTGCTGCAGTGATTCTTGATGGGGCAGCCATTGTAGGTAAGCTTCATTTCTTTATGCATGAGGGAGGGGAGCCGAGGTATGAGAATGAAGAGTGGAGGGCAAACCGCGGTGAAAAACTGAACCCCCAGCCAGAATAATCGATTATGCATGGCACATAATCGATTATGCCTCAGCATAATCGATTATGATGGCATATTTTTGCTTCCAGGCGCGTTCCTTCCATATTTTTGTTATTATTATTTATTATTATAAATATTCTGTTATTATTATTTATTATTATAAATATTATTATTATTATTATCATTATTATTAATATTATTATTATTTATTATAATTAGTATCATTATTATTTATTATGATTCTTATTATTTTTCTAATATTTATTATTATTATTATTATCATTATTTATTATTTTTTTTAGTAAATTATACCTATTAATATAATTTTATTGTAATTATTATTATTTATAATAAATAATATTCTACTCATTTTTAATCCAAGGGTAAAAGTGTAAATTACATATTCATCTGTTTAAAATTTTAATTTTTATCTATTACATCAATCAATTTCTACACAAATTTTCACAAACTTTCTATTCACTTTTTACTATCTTTTCCTTAATCCAAACAACTTCACTTTCCACTCTCTTTCTCTTCAAATCTTTCCTTTTCCACTCTCCCAAATCCATTCTTCAATCCAAACATAACCTTAAGGAATGAGCCCAAGAATGCTTACCCCTACGTCCGGTAGAGATGAAATAGCCATGAATTGGCAAGGAGAGCAAATAAATGGCTAAGAAATAAAAAAACACAGATCGTTTGAAAGCAAAGAAATGCAACAGCAAAGAAATAAAAAAAGAATGAGATCTACACCTTATTTCTGTGTAAATTAGTGCGTCAATAAACAATACACACAAAAAAAAATGGTAATCAATTAAAAATCAATGTCATGACTTGACTATATTTTTTTCATGAGAAACCATGAAATCATCCGTTCTCAAAAAATTTAATCGATTAAATAACAATTCAATGGATTAAACTGTATTTTGTCATGACTTGACTTTTGAGAAGTTATAATGTTTTGAAAACAAGCTTAATCGATTATGATTTTTCTATAATCGATTAAACTTTAGAAAAATCGATTAAATTATTATTTTTTAATTTCTTTATTTGTTTTTTTCTTTTTTAATTCTCTTACATATTATTATTATTATTATACATTTTATTTCTCATATATTTCTTTCTATTCTATTAAATATTAATATTATTTTTCTTTGATTTTTTCTAATTTTTCTTAAATCAAATAACTAAATTTTCACTTTATTCCTTACTTATTTCCATTCATTTATTTTTCTTTTCTTTATTTCTCTTTTATTTCTTTTCTCTCTATCAAAAATATTCTACGAGTCAATCAAGCTTGCAGATGAAGTCTCATATTACCGACTTGGACATGTTCAGCAACGTTGGTTTTGAATGAATCACTTCAGATAATTAGTTAACCCTCTCAGTATGCAAAAGTTCTAATGTGTGTGGATAAGCCATTTCCCATAGTGAATTCTACTCTCATAAAGGATTCACGCTCAATAGAAGACCACGGAAATTCAAAGTGATAACCCGTTTTTGTTAATTGATAGCGTGTTTGATTCGGTGTTAACAAGGTGATTTTTCACGTCAAATTAAAAACAAGTAGTTTTAACTTTTATATTTCGGATAGAATTGATGTAAAAATACATTATGAAACGCCAAAACAAACACTTATTGAGGCTGAGTTGCTGACTTAATCTGGAAGTTGAGTTTCGATTTCTTTTTTCTGCTTTGTTAGGGTGAGGGAATGTTGTTCTATAAGGAGCGTAGGAGCATTTTGAGGGACATAAAACATGTATAAACATCTGCTTCATGATTCTATTTGTAACACATACGAAATAAGATAAGATGAAAATGTATAAGAAAAGCAAAAGGATCTGCTGCAGATATTTGTGCAGACTTTACAAAATATCACTTGGTAAAAACAAATTATAGTGATACAAGGAGTCAATCCACTGAAATTTTATAGTTCCCTACGAATCTACGATGCTTTTGCTTTTATAAGCTTTAGTAGATTCATAGGCTTTTAATAAAAGACCCTAGCACGTTGATAAGGTGCTTCTATTGAGAATAAGGTACAAGTGAGACAAGTAACAATACTTAATAAGGTTGCCTATCTCTGGTAGGATTCAAATGTGATTAACTCATTACTGCTGCTAATTAATACTCTATTTGGTAAGAAATCTGTTCGTTAAATCCTCTTTTGAAGCATATGAGATTGGTGATGGAGCCACGGAGGGTAATAGGTATAGAGGAAGGTTAATTGAAGAATAACCAATAAAATCAGGATTCTTAAGTATGTTATAAGGAGTTTAATTTTTAATGATATATATGAAAAACATTTTGTTGAGAGAAATAAAATAAAAACAAATTTAAGCACAATCCTACTCTTAATATTTGTTTTTTCTCTATGGCCTTAGGCCTCGTACTCAGAAATGGATGATCATAGCCTACTAATCTATTATTAATAATATTCCTCACAAGTTACATCTATAGATTAGTCACCTCTTCCTTCTTCTTAACCACGTTGCTATCCAATTGTCAAGAACATGACAAACACTCATTATGTACGAATAGACCTTGCCTCTATGATCATTGTTACGTGGATATATTTAATGGACACATCTTTAAGTTAAATTCTGTTCTGTTATCTGCCAAATGTCAATAAAGTTGTCATACTCTACAATTGCTTTGCCCCCGGAATTTCAACATAATCTTATGAATGATGATATCCATCAAAATCCTTTTTTTTTTCGCTCATCCAGATGATACTGTCAGTTTTACTTCCTTCTGGCACCCCATTATTTTGGGATAGCATAACTTCTCTACTCCTAATTATTAAATGAAGTTAAATTAAATTTACATTAATATAAAATTTAAAATTGAGTTTAAATTAAATTTTCATCTTGTCTTTAAATTACGACTATTCCCTCCATAATGACCCTTTGACTATGCGCTGCTGTTTGCAGAAGTGCTTTTTGGCATGCTTTCTGGTGTCATATTTAACGTTTACTTGTAAAGTGCCACAACAAAGCAAATAATAAAGGAATCCGTCTACGTGTGTGTTTATGACGACATTCATTGCATTTGTATGTATGGCCTACACTTTTCCATGTTTTATTTTCGTAGGATGCCATGTAGTTGTTGTTACTTATTAGTAAAAAAGTGTCAACACCAACTCCCCATCTTTAGCATATGTATTATTAATGAAGAGAGATACCCAACAACACTGCCAATACCTATATTCTCTTGAGAATTAAGATATGTTATTTTTTATTTAAACATGTAATTTCAATGAATAAAAAAAAACTCACTTAAATGAGATTTTGATATCATGAAAAATTGAAAATTAATTTCTAGCATGCTTGGTTTTATATTTTAATATAGATATGATTTTGAGAACTTAAATTTAATTTGATTTTACATTTCGTCATAAATGTGATTTTCAGATGCTATTAGATATAACTTTCATGGCTCAAATGTAATAACACATAATCAAACATGCCAAAAAAAAAGTATGGAACATCATAACCTAATTTATAGTATGAGTTAACAAACTCAAATGATATAGGCATAAGATGTTTCTTGGAGATTCACATCAACTAGAAATAAGATTATAATAATATATATAAGTAGAGAGTAATCTTTATCTTACAAAGAATTTTATAAAGTTGAATTAGATTCTTAATTTACTTTTTAAGATAATATAAGAAGAATTAATCATCTATACACTGTTAGTATAAATTTTTTTTACACTGGCAACTAATTATATCTTTTAATTATACCATGTCACTATAAACACATTTACTTTTAACAGTGAAATGACACAATTAAAATATATAATTAATTACTAGTGTAAAAAAACTTTGTACTGTCATTATATAGATGATTAACTCATATAAGAATATATCAGAGTCTTTATTATAATGATTATTGGTTGTTAGGAGACTTATTAATTCTCGGTGTGAAAACATGCTAAAAATTCTATATCAACTAGTTAAAATAGTATATATAAATAGAAAATAATTTTTATAATATAAGATAATTTTGTAATATAGTTTGACTCTTAGCCCATTTCTTTTAGAGACGGAGTTATCTAGAGCACTATACATCAAATTCCTTAAAACAAGTCACTTTAATAGAGATAGACCTATCCAGGTTTATAGTAAATCTTAATCTTGAAAATTCCTTCAATGGGTCTGTTATTGTTTGGCCAACAAAATTTGAAGCCACGGGATGCATATTTACAATGAAATAATATTTTGTCAGAGCCAACATGTTATCCGTACCATTGAAATATCTATCAAGTTGGCCAGTTTAGGATACGCAGCAGCAAAAGCATGTGGCGCCGCTGGCATGTTGAAGTGTGCATATCAGCAGAACATTAAACATCACACAAAATGATGGACCATTTCTTCCCTCCTCTTTGAAACCGCCCCACTATAATCTCATAGCCTTCTTCTTTGGCGTTATCCCTCAAAATGGAGAATATAAGTGTACTTTTCAAGCGACCTTTAACTAATATATATCTCAAAATTTTCTTTCTATAATTTGGCTAAGCCATAGTACTTATGAATGTTTTATGGATCCTGTTAACCGTACCCGGTCCGATTAACAAATCAGTATATAGATTTTTCTTTATTAAAAATTACATTGAAGTTATATGGGAGAGTACACTGCTATATTTCTAATAATATTTCTTTTCACATTTGATTCATTATTACATTGCCAATGAAGAAGGAACTAAAAATACTAGTTTCTGGTTACATGGTACCTTCATTCCTGGAAAATTTATCGTATGATATGAGATTACCACATATCAATGGTACCATGACTGAACTCTAGGTAGGTAACATGTAATCAAATTTTATTAGCTTTTTCTCGTAGACCGAAAAACTTGACTATACATTACATGATGTTTGGCGGAAACTAAACACACGGTAGTAGTTTGGACTATACAACAATTTCTCTCATTTCTAACCTTACCTGGTTGCCACATTACTCATTACATTAGGCTAGTGAGAAAGGTTAATTGAAGATAAATGGATTAAAACTTCTATCATAGAGAAGCCTGACAGGTTTTACTAATAAAGCATCTCATATCATCTGTAGTATATAATACTCTAGGAGATGGAGCTGAGATTCAGCATTGCAAGGGAAAATTTTGCTTACATTAACGTGACTGTGTTAGCCTGTGCATGATTTACATCTGGCATTTTCAATACTAGGTCAAGTGACCTTACTAGAAAAGTGTGCCAACAAGCTAAATTACATCTAGGGTTGTTTGAGTAACTTCTATTACTCTCTGGCTCTGATTTTTCTCTTCCCTAAATTTAAGTAAACAGGCAACCAGTTAAGTGTAGTTACATTGGTGCCCACTTATGATGAGAAAATTATGAACTTTGGTGGTTCATAGATTCTAAACATCTACTGCATCAACAGGAAGTGAGGTTGCCCTATGAAGTGAGTGTGGAAGCAAAGCTCCTGTGAAGAAATCCTGGGCTGTGACCATTTGCTCAGGACTGTTGGACTGACTAACCTCATCAATATTCTGAACCACTTGATCAGCCAAAGTAGTGCATTTTTCATCATCAACATGAAAATGCTTCCCAGAAAATATAGATCTCAATAGTGGTTTATTGTTTTGTATCTTCAAGTTGGATGTAGCCGAAAGCCTCAGAATTCCATCTTTTCCAATCCCATGCTCTAATTTTTCAGTGTCAGGAGATATGCTAGAAAATTTTGGTTTACCCCCTAGTTGGTGGTCTCTAAGCTCCCTTAACTGCATTTGGTACTTTGCTTTGAGCCATCTTAGTTCTTGCCTAATTTCATTTTCATAGTCCAAGGGAGCACAATTTGTTGCAGGGTTTGAAAGAGGCCTTTTGGTATTGAGATCACTTTGTTCATCCATATTAACAGTTTTTCCATCCTCCTTGATGTTTGATGGGTGTGATGCCTCGTGAGCTTGGTCACAGTGAATGTCTTTTAATTCTTCATGGCATAACTCTGGATCATCTCTCTGTGCCCAGATATCTGTATAATGAATGCCTTTAGATTGCCTTGATGCATCTGGCTCACCTTCTGTAGCACTATTTTCAGATCCTTCAACTTGGTATGTTATCTCTTCAAATCGCCCATGAACTGCAGCACATCCATTTTTAGAACAACGAAGAAATTGAAGGTTCTTGCCACATGGATTATTTGATGATACATAGTCAAACAAGGAACCGTTTGCAGCACAATTGCGGCAGACATTTGCACTTGAACATTCTGAATTTTCCTCTATTATCTGTTCTGCTTTCCACTCTGGAACCAAGGTTGCAATTTCATTGTCTATCATATTTGCTAATTTAGTTACATCTTGGTCAGTTATGTCAAGCTCAGCTACCATTTCATTTGCAACACTCAATGCAGTATCAGTCTCGATGTCAAATGGGAAGTAGATATTTCGAACTCGACCTATTTAGAGAAATGCATTGTTAATTTGGTTTCTTTGCTTATGTAGCAAGTATCAGAAGAATAACAGAATATGGAACGATCAAAGACAAAAACAGTTAAAGAAGAAAATAAGAAAGTGAAATGCTAACCTTCCTTATCTGCTATTCTGATTCTCAAAAAGATGCCATCATCTTCTCTTCTACTACCTTTGATTGTGGTGTCAACTTCAGCCAAATTGTCACCCTCTTCGCATTCAAAGAGACCAATTTCACTCGGCTCAAAATCATCTTGAGGATAATCCAATTCAGATACAGGTCCATAACCACCAAGATTATCAGTGTACCCACTCATTAAGGTATCGTTAATGCTATAAATTCCATTCAAAGGTTGTCTAATTAATGGGGTTACTTGATAGCAATCTCTTTGATACTGAACTACTTTTGAGTCAGACCCATAATCATCAATTTGGAGAAACGGGTCCTCCAAGAGTTCCTTAGCTGAAAGTCTGAGGGACGCAGTTGCTAGGCATTTCTCTACAAATTGTCTAACCTCGGGATTGTTTACTTTGTAAAGAGCTTCTGGCTTCTTACCCTGTAAAATTTGCATGCAAATAAGTGGAGCAAGAAGAAAAACCAAATAGGAAAGTGAATCAAGGTAAAATAGATAAATAAAAAATAAAACAACTACTTTTGGTTCTTACAGAGACAACTTTCTTGTAAATTTGAGCAGGATGGTTGCATTCACTATAAGGATATTCAAAAGTCACCATCTCTAAGATGCACATTCCAAAAGAGTATATGTCGACCAACTCATTGTAATCCTCTTCATACACTTCAGGAGCCATAAACTCAGGTGTGCCTGGAGTAAAACAAAGAAGAAAAATAAGTAAATCCGGAGTCTTAAACTGATAATTGTGCCTATATAGAGAACTGATTATCAAAGAGAAAAGTAACATTTTCATATTCGTAATTTGGAATATAATCACAGGCTTTTCATGCTGCTGTTCTACACACCAACGCAGCGAGCAGCATTAGATTTGCGGAGAATTGCAGCAAGGCCAAGATCACCAATTTTGACCTCCCCTTGGTTGCCATTGATGAAAATATTATCACACTTGAGATCTCTATGAATCACAGGAGGATCATAGCTGTGCAGATAGAGAAGTCCTTCCAAAATCTGCCTGCACCAATGCTTAATAGCTCTGATGTTAACCCTTCTGTGTTTAAGTCTGTACCTGCTCACACAATGAATATAAGCATATATAAGCCAAAAACAAGATGCAGCAGGTAGAGCTCCCTCATTAAAGCATTGAACGGAATATATACATACACACACATATACTAATAAAATAAAAAAGGAGAGTGCTTACTGTCTTAGAGTTCCAGAGGTAAACATCTCGGTGACAAAGTTAATGTGCCTGTTGGCCGTATCAACCCATGAAGTATAGAACTTCATGATGTTCTTGTGTTTCAATGTCTTGAGCAGATGAATTTCACTGTATAACCTCTCAAGATCTTCAGGATTCTGCAAAAAGTCATAAAGCTTTACTTGATTCCATGCTACTTCTATCCCTTCATACTCATCAAATGCTCTATAGCTGCAACAAAAAAATATGGTCTCATATTATAAAAAAAAACCTTATTTTGTTGAAACCCCATAACTGTTCCAATTAAACAACAAAAAGGAGAACATCTCTGAGCAGTTTAGGATTTTGCTTGGAAAATTCTGAGGTGGGTGTGCTGAAAACCAAGATATTAAGGACATGATGCATACACAGTCTTGGAAGCTCCCTTGCCAAGAATTTCATTGTACTGCAAAACATGAAATTCAAATCCCGGAATCAAAACAAAGAACTTGGAATATAAAAAAAGTAAGAAAAGTTGATGAGTAAAATAGAAGGTATATACTCTTCCATATCTTCCCGTGGGATCAACTTCCACAAACTCACAGCACTCTGCCTCGGCACATGCAGCACCATTCATGCTTTGTTTCTAATTATCTGTGCTCTCGTTTGCTTTTATTTATAAGGGCTTTTAATTGCTCCTGTGTGAGCGAGAGAGATAAAGAACACGAGAAAAGAGAGAAGCAAAAGTGAGTACTAGTTTTTTCATTGCATTTACAAGGAATATAGGAAAGTGTGATAAGTAATTATTTGGTTTTGTGTGGAGGTAGAGAGAAGAGAGAGATGGTGGGAAGGTCGATCAAAAGGACAAAGTTATTGCCAAGTGCCAACTAACCTATACAACAAGGCAAATGTTTCACAAGGTTGGAGAGTGATACCTCTAATCTACTACCACGCTTCTCTGACAAACAACTCTCTCTCTCTTCTATCCTCCTCTTTTTACATCTCATCACGAGCTGTAAAACCATTATCACTCTCTAAATGCAACAGCTTGCACTGCATGGACCAACCATTGTTTTAGGCTTTCTTATTAAACAAACATTTTATGTGGTGCTCTAAGCACGGGAGGGGAATTTGGGTCCTCTGCATTTATGGGAAGGTTAGACTTTTCATCATTCAAATTTATAAATACCTTTTAGTTAGGAATGTGGGTTGTTTGTTATGGTTACTATTTTAGTGAATTTCGTTTACTTGTTTTGATTTGTCCATGTCCTCGGTGTTACTTCTCTTAGGTTGCTTTCTATTTTTAGTTTTCCACAGTTGGAGGACAGGTAGGATGTAAAATTCTAAGGTTAGGCCTTATAAAGAGAGGTCCAAACTTTTAAATTGCAGATAAATATATCTGATGTCACCACAATCAGTTTTATTGTAGTTCGAAAGCTTCTAAAAATCCTCACGTTTATACCCCTTTTTCAATATTATAATTAAGATGTATACTTTTCTTTGAGTTTGCTTTTAAGATAGAGTTGTGTACCAATTATGATTTCATATTCAAATATCTAAATCTTTGATAAAGTAATATAAGTGTCAACTTGGTAACAATTTTAACCTTGATTGGGAAGAGAAGATATAATTGGGTAAGAAGTGACGTGGAACAGTGGCTGGCCCAGATTACTTGGCCTCCGATGCAGAAAAGGGGACCAATGCAGTTGAATTCTAGGCTAGGCCCACACACGCTTCAACCTGATTGTGCTTGCTTGTATTTTCTGTAGAGAATTGCTTGAATTATATATATATTTTTATTTATAAAAAACACAACCGGTACTTAAAGAATTTAAGATACTCACTCACTCCAATCAATTAAGTAAGTCAGAACTCCTTGAATTTTTTTTAGTAATTTGTATATTCACGGGTTTTTATTTTACAAACAAAATTAATTATATTTTGAACAACTTGATGTATATTAAAATGGCGAGAAGCAAAAAACTATGGTAATGAATAAAAAAAAATTGACGTAAAGCGAGAAAATATATAACAAATTTTTGCAAACTTAATATACTTAATGGTTGAGAATTATTTTGGACCTCAAATTTTAGTTTATTTTTTGCGTAATTTAATTTGTATTCTTTCCAAAAAAAAAAATTTAAGAGCAGAGTGTATTTCTATTTTCAAACCAAATTTAATAATTAGTGTTTTAAGATAATCTACGTTTATTGAATTTCGTAGTGACGATTAGATATTTCACATAGACTTAAAATATGAATATATATATATATATATATATATATAATAGAAAGTGAAGAAAATTTTATTTTATAACGTTATTAAGCTCAAATTGAATTCTTAAAATGGCATCGATTTCCAAATGAGAATGGAAGAATATCTATTAAGATACATCAGTTCTTTAAATAAATATTTGTATTGTGATCGGTCTCTAACTTTCCACCAGGATGTCTTTTATTCTGCCAATAAAACATGACAAATCTAGTAAAACGATACTCTTAATAATATTGTTAAATAACATTATATTTTACTAACAATGTATTAATTTAAGTATAAATGAATTCAATTTTTTTGTCACAATCATTTAAATGAAAAAACATGGTACGTAAAAAGGATAACAACGGAGGGAGTAATAAGATGTCTAATACCTCCCACCACCCGTGTCATTTAGTACGAATATCTATTTAGTAAATATCTCATCATTTTTTATATATTAACGAATATGTTTAAATATTTTTTAAAATATAAATTTTTAAATAAAAAGGTATGAAATTAAATAAATATTTTTAAAACATATATTTATATTAAAATTAACAATAAATAATTTTTATTACAATATAGATTTTTATTGTAAATCTAAAATATAAATCATATGTCTAAAAATATTTATTTAATGCAAATTTTTATTATGGTATGACATAAGTATTCAAAAAGTATTTATTTATTATAAATCATAATTATATAAAATAAATATTTATTATGTGCATTATATGATTAAAATACTAATTAATTTTAAATATTATATCCCTTCATGTAAATTAGTATAATTATCTTAAATGAAATTATTTTTAAATAGTTATTATATATACTTTTTTCATCTGTTGCATTAAAATAAAAAAGTCTCAAAATAATTATGTTAATTTTTTAATGTAATATTAATTACTTTTTTCATTTATACTTTTAATAATATTATGTGGAAAGGAATTTTTGTGTTGCATTTTTTTAATAAAGAAGATTAATAATAAGATTAATTTTATAAAATTATTATTATCTTTTATCTGTTAATTAAATTTTCTTAGATTTATGTAAAATAATCTAAGACCACTTATTATAGGACAGATGAAATATTTAATATATTTTAAAATATTAATTTATTAAAAATCAATTATATTTCTTTTGTGTATCGTACAAATTAAAATATTAAATTTAGATTATGCAGATAAAAATTTGATTTTTTATTTCTTTTTTTTAGTTTTTGTGAATAGAGATATGAATTAAAAATATATATCAAAGAATTTAAAACGTGAGGTATTGAATTGAATCTGAATGTGAAATTAATCCTAAATTTTAGTGTAAATAGCATATTAAAATTATTGATTTAATTAAAAACATTTAAAGCAAATGAAATTAAAAGAATAATTAATATATTAAAAGATAATTAATGTGTTTAGTCAGCATAAGCTACTGAATTTTAATAGCATTAGTAAGTGAAAGACTTAATTACAAAAATTTTAAACTACAAAAAAATTGTAAAATATTTTTAACTACAAGAACTTAATTAAATATTAAAAAACTATATGAAGTTACGGATTAATTCAACCTATAATTTATGATAAACTAGCCTAAAACGCATCCCCTATCAATAAGCTAACCAAACAAAAGTTACCTAAAAATTTAAAGTGCTTTGTAGCACATGATTGATGTTAATGCCGACCATCATGTAGAGGCCGGTGCCAGATATGGCAAAAATGATGGTGCCTTAAGTTAAGACATATTTGTGACAACTAACAAACATTCCTCTTTTTAGGTGTATTTTGTTGGAATTAAAACAAGTAAACTTATTATTATTTTTTTATTATTGTACAATAAAATCTATAAAATGTTTTTGTCAAATAAACTTTGTTATTACGTAGTTCTTGTCTATTTTAAAGTTACAAACATAATATGTAGTTGAGGTTAATTTAGGCACACATTTACAAATCACATTTAATAATTCAAAACTAATTTCACCAAAATCAGTTTTATCAAACTTCAAACCAAACAGATATGCAGAAAACTTGTTAACATGGATGGAAAAGGTTTTTGGTTGTGTTGAATCGTAATTAATTTATATATGAACACAATAGAATACAGACTAATGATAACAAATTAACAATCATTAGCACTTCACGTTTTGTTTTTTTAGCTTGCTTGTTCTGTGCGAAAATTCAAGCTTATTGAATCTAGCATGCCATGGTCTGTTGAACTCTCTATATAACATAATTCATATAGAAAACTCAAAGTTGTTTATTGATGTAAATGTTTTAGCTCTAAACATTTGTTTGTTATGCTTTAAAAATGAGGACAAATGTCAAGAAATGGGTTCTTAACATGACTTTAATATAAATATATGTACAGTTTATTTATTTATAAAGGCATAGTTGCATGTGGATTAGTATGCATTAGTTCAGTAATGGGCCAAATAATTCTCAGACAAAGTTATCTAATCGGATCTTATGGAACTAACACATTTTAGGGAGAAAAAATAGTTTCTAGTGTTGTCCTTTCTTCCAAATCAGTTGTATGAGGTGATTCGTTTAACATATAAAAAGATTTTCAACTCTAAAGGTTAGAACAAAAGACAAGAAAGTGGGTGTAATTTAAGAAGAAGTATTATTATAATCAAAGCATCTAATCCAGCAGTCATATTTGTCTCTATACACACACACTAATCTTTGGACTAGGATTCTGTTACAGTCACAGAGTGATCCAATACGGTTTCTCCAGATGCCACTATGTTCGGAACAAGCGATAAAACCAAAAGAATAAAATCAATATTTATATGTTCCATTTCTTCAAATGGCACACAGTTCAGATTTTATAAACTAATGGCAATCTGATTTTGTCGATCGGCTTAAAGACAAAGTTCAAATTGTTGCTACATTCGCATGTGACATTTTTATTTTTAATCTTAACCAGGATTTTTTCCTGAAGAACTTCAAACCTGGCTCATCTGCTAACGGCCAAATTTCTTTTGACATGCTGCCTCATTTAGTCATTTTGGTTGACATAACTTTAATAGCTCGGAAGCCGAACACAAATACTAATCTTTACATTGTTTTTATTTTATGTTGTCTTCAAAAAGTTCCAAGGAAAATGATACTCTATTTTCATCGTTTCCTACTTTAAAATTAAAAAAATAGCAAAAACAACTTTTGGAAAAAAGAAAACAAAGTAAAATTTTGGTGATTTCTTTGTAATTAAAACTGAAAATATTTTTGTAAGTTATGATATAAAACATTTGTATTGAGAAAAAAAAAACCTTAATTCCACAGAGTTTCTACATTTCATATTTACATGTTTTAATTTACATTTTTATTAGGAAGAGGGTATCTCTTGAATCTTATTGAATTCCTATGGATTTATCATTTATATAAACAAAAAGGAATGATGGAAAGTTTATCCTTTAAATTTTCCTCAAAACGTGGAGGGTTCATTTACTACTTGAAAGTTAATAAATTTATCTGAGAAAATAAAGCAGGAAAATTCAGGCGCAAATTCAAGAAACCCAACTTTCTATTGTTAGCTGGTACAGTATCAAATCATAAGAAACGAACATCTTTCTTCAAACAATATATTATTAGCATCTTTTTGGATTTACACTAGATGGTCTATGATTGTATTGAAATACTAATTAACTTAATTTTATGTAAATATTCACATAATTTCATATTGAACAATTGATCCAAAATTAGTAAAAATTCATTGCAAGTTTTTGTTTAATAGTCACAATAATATGAGGGAAATTAATTTTTAACCAATGAATTAGAAAATACATGTGACAAGACAAAAAGAAACTATTCAACAATTGATTCTAAATCCAAATTTAATACATGTTTAGTAACATGTGGGCTTACATTCATTGTGATTTTTTGAAGCAACTAATTACCTGTGTTAAATTTAACATGGTTTTACAGTGAATGTGCATCCCTAACGTGTTAGCAAATATCAAACTCCAAATAACTCCAATTAGCTTTTATTTTTCTGAAATGTGTGTCCAACAAGCATAACATATTAAGCTTGTGGCATGTGCTTAACTATCAAGTGCTCTCATGTCAACTAGAAACCTTATAACCTTTTCCGAAATGCGTTTTTATTTGGGTACAAGAAGCATATTTTATAATTTACAATATAAAACTCAAAGAATTGGTAAATTTTACCAGTTCCATAATGCTTAATTTTCATGCACTATATGTGTAAAAAATTTACACCGAAAGTCAATTAAAACATTTTAAAATATAACTACTAAAGTAATTAGTACAAAAAAAAAATATAACATGATTAAATAACCATGTAAAACATTCAACATTGTAATGATGTTACTGCATTCTGATTAAATTCTTTGCACAACTCTATTTCTCCCGCTTCTGACTCTTCCCTTTTTTTTCACCTTTCTATCCTTCTACCTCCAAGGCTCCACCCCAAAATTGGGGGGTACCACAATGATTCCTCGCTAAGGATGTTGGCAAAGCATAAAAAACGCCAATTGATGTCTTGGACCACTCCACGAGATTTGGAGCAGGGAATCAATAACCATCACATGAATACTTCAGGCCTTGAATTGTGAATTTCACCACGAAATTTATATTTGAAAATTTTCAAATTTCTTGAAAATTTCAAATTCTCTATCCAAACACAACCTTAACCTTGGTTTCTTTGGCTTCAATAAACCAAAACAAAATGAATTTTCAGAAGGTACTTTTCATTATACTGTTTATTTCAAGATGTCGTTTTCCACATAAACAGAGATAAGCAGATATTAATGTTCACAAAATTGGTTTAGGATGAAGTAAATAAATAGTGCAAGAAATCAGTAAAATGAACTTGATTTCTCTATTGTGTTCCAATTCTCTACCCTGTCTCCGGCTTATTAATGAAGTTCGAATTCAGATTCAAGAAAATGGCCATCTTCCTAGAGATCACAGTGTCATCTAGTTGACGAAGTAAGAAAATATGGAATCCCCGATGTAAAAACCAATTAAAGAGGGGGAGAAAGAGAAGGTCAACTGTTGCCCGTTTCCTCCCATCATATTACAATATTAGCAACGTAGAGTGGGATCTTCAACCTGCATATATGTTACTTATTGGGTACCCTTCCAGAATTGCTTTCTCCATAACTTTTTCCTGGTTAAAAATTAAAGAAGGGAATTTTGGTTCTCTGATTGCAATGCTGTGGACTACAATTTAGATACAAGAAAGGCCAAAAAAGCTTGATTTTGAATCAAAGTTTTTCTTTTGCTTGTAAATATAGTAGGAAATAAGCGTTTTCTTTTGTTTATTTTCCCTCCTTTTTGTTAGTGTAGAAGTAATAAATAAATTTACCTGGATAACAGTTGTGATCATCCCAGGTCCACCCTGCAGTCACTCGAGTTGAGAAAATCATTAAAAAAAAAAAAAAAGTGATTTGATTGCAGCACCAGCAGAAATATACCACCTGAAATTGCTTTTTTGTCCATGATATATCCTTCCAAGTTTTAGAATGGGCTGATTGCCATTCTGTTGGAACCTGAATATTATCCACATGTTGCAAAAGCCTCAAGCTATCTGCAATGACATTTAGCCCCAAGTGAATGTTAGAACATGATAGTCCAACATTTGATTTAGGAATTTATCGGTGATGATGTGACAGTAATATATGAGTTGTGTTATAGACTTGTAAAAGGAAATTAAGGTGTCAGATTGTTATTCCCCAAGTGTTGAAGGATGATGCTCCTTGTTAGCGGGAAACCCTGGTAGTCTGATCCAGTTTGAAGGTATAGGAAACAATCATCAGCCTTTGATTCAGATCCAGGAAGGAGCAATTTTAGAAGTTAGAAAGCTTTCATACAGCTTAATTAGCCACTCAGTCAAGATAGATACTGAAATTTCTAAAAGAACTACTGTATGACATACAATTATTAAGCATTTGAACACTACAAATGAAACATTCAAAAGCCAAAATAATACTTGTGATGAATGCCTCCTCCCATATTTCACGTTCTGACCATGATGGAGCAACCTCTCGAAATGGAATTCCTTCACTCCTGCATATCCTGCACATAATGCAAGTCAGTGCTTGTAAGTGCTTCTTCTCTATCCTATAATTTATGACACTGGCCACGTTTCATTTTACCCCACAAGAATTTCTGTGGCTAAGACATTATCCCAATATTAGAGAAAGCAAGACTCCTCTCTGACTAAACTGTCTTTCAGAATTAAGTTTATTACTGTGATACAGTAGAGCTAAGAGCTCCATATGAATGTAAAAAGGGAAAAAGAATTAATTATTTATATTGCTTAGGCAGAGAACAGGAAAAATTACAAGTTCATCCAATTTAAACCAAACAAGACAATATACCACAAGTAGATTGTTCAAACACTACAAAAACAGAAAGGCAATGCTTTAAGTCTAGTCTTATTGTTAGCAATACGAGAAAAAGCCTTTGTTTTATACGCAAGTTGTTGAACTATAGATCACAGTAAATAACAGGAATTCTTCTAAAACTTCTACACGAGGTCACAGTTTCTTTATGGTCAAAGAAAATATATTAGCAAAAAAATAGTCAAATCATACTCAAGTACTAGTTGGCGTATCGTTCCTGGAAGAACACCATCACTGATAGGAGCTGTTTGTACTTCAAAAGAGTATTTATTTCCAGAATCACACAGGGCCTTCCCATCATTTGAATCCAGGTCCTAAAATGAAACAGGAAATGAACATTAAAAGTTGCACATGTAAAATCCATGATGAGGAAGCTTATTCCATAAAATGTTTCAATATGCACATGTGCATATAAAAATCCTTGATGAGGAATTCGATTAAATGCGTAAGTGTGCAGTGAACATCAAATGTTCATGAAAGCATAAAATTTTAAAATAGAACACAAACATGTAAAGGCTTGAAACTCAATTAGTAGTCCAGTACTGTGTTCATCAATATGATGAAGAATAGGAATTCATTCTGGAAATAGAATAGGAGATGAACTTAGAGGTTTTCAATAAATAAAATGCGTATGCTTGTTAATCGTCAACAGTCACTGCTACCTAAAGAAAGCTTATTGCATTAATTTTAGCATTACAACAAATCAAATTTAAGAAATCCCATAAAGCTGAGTTAGAATTTAAATTGAGAGATCAAATAAGCACACCTTGCAGCAAACAACAAAAAAATTTGTCACACAACCTTCAAGAATCTGATCCCCGTCATTAGACAGCAACAGTTCTGTTACTGAGGGAGGCCTGAGCTTTTCCAGAGGCTTCCTAATCCTGCAATGTAGACAAAATTTCCAACTAAATTAATAAATAAATTTAAAAGAAAAGAAGTGGACCATCCTCAATTATGGTAGTTGTAGGCCCTCAAACAAAGGTTTTTTTTTTAAGTAAAAAACTTGACTTGGTTTCAACCAAGCATTTATATATAATTCAATTTATAACCATGTGACAGACATGCTAAACAATTTCAGGGAAATCAAACAATTAAGACACTAGTGTCACTTAAAAAAAATCAAATCAAATCTGAGAAGCTAAATCATTAAGCAACAAATGCTGGCTTGAAGTAGAACAGAGAGAGTTTCTAGGACAAGATGACATTATATAAATACTTTCTAATAGTTCTTTAATGATTGTCTGTGTAAGTTGTCGTCATTCATTCCTAGATTTGTCCCTTATATAACTTAACCTACAAATCCAAATGCCTCTAAAGTCTAGACAACTCAATAAAGTTAAGCAAACAATAATAGATAAAAATACTCATACTTTTTAGTATCTGCATCTTTATTCATTAATAATTTAATATCATTTTTTTCTTATATAGGATTTAAGGAAAAAGCACAGTAGAGTTTAATAACACTTCCAATTCAAATTGCATAAACTTACCTTACCCAATCAGAATATTTTGCAGCTGCAACATGCCTCCCATAGCCCACCACAGCCAAATGTACACCATTTCCTCTAATACCAAATGTAGGAGGAACATAAGTCTCAACATGCACATGCACATCAAGAATTTTACTCATTCTTTCCTCGCTGACAGTATCACATGCATTTAATTCCTCCAAATTACCACTAACAAGAATTGTAGTGGCCAGCTCCTCACAATCATTCCTCTCTTGCAATGCAATCGGCAAGACTTTGCACAGTGAATCATTAACAAGCATCTGAACTGTGGATTGCCATATTGACAAGGTTGTTGATGTTGGTATCAAAATTGCAGAATTATTAGATTTAAATAGAAGCTGTGGAGACAAATTTGATAGAATTTTTATAGATTCTGAAAGTCTTTTCATGTGTCGTTCCCAAAATAACAACCACGAGGCATTGTTGTGAGTACGAGAAGTTGTGTAAGCACCTAGACAAGAAGATAGCTGAATAAGTGTTAAAATAAGCAAGGTAAGAAAACCATGAAAAAGATTATTTACTTATTTTACTAAATTGTTTTACTCGTTTGAAAGTACCTGGATGAGATTCAAGGAAGCTTTTGACTGGAGGGGCATTTGAGGTGTGTAAAAGGACGCCATTACTGAAGAGAAACCTTGAACCTGACATTTCTTTAGCTTTCAGACAATGAGAGGAGAATTCAAACCAAATAGCAGTCCAAAGGATGAAAAAACAGCTCTTGACCTTTCCCCAAAAGAATAGTTTGTCTAACTATCTTCAGAGGGAATAAAAATCCATGTGCACTGCAAATAGCTGTTGAGAGTATATCACGATGAGATACGTGTTCTAATGCCAGATGCAGCAAATTCAAAAGACAGCTTCTACAACATGTTATTTTTGTTGTTTTTAGAGAGGTCAGTGCAGAAAGACAAGGAGAGAAACCTGGAACCTAATAAATGACATTGCTATACCCTACTAAACTTATGAAGAGAAAAAAGGAATCACATTATAGATATATCATCCGCAACCACGAGTTCATAAATTGAGTATTTATTTCCCCTCCTACTTTTATCTGTAGATAAAAGAAAGCAATTTGCATCATTGTATCAAGTATGAACGAACACACACCACAGTTTTTCAGGGGAGAAAAAAGGCAAAATGGAAGAAATATGACCCGCAATAAAGAATTCAAGTGGGAAGGGGGCAGACGAAGAAAAAAAAAGAAGATTTTAGGTAGTCACTAGAACTTAGGTGGGTAGTGGCGGCAATTTTCAACATCAGCAAGAAATTGTGTTTTCTTTCATGTTTGTTGTTAATAAGGAAAGGAACACTGGTTCCAGCAATAATGGGTTTTTTTGTAGAGATAAAAAATGCTCCATTCCGATGTATAATGACCAAACCATGGCATTAAACAATAATAGAGAAAACGCAGGATACAGAAAAACCCAGAAAGAGGAAATGATGAATGTTACCATACGCAAGGTGCACGCCCAGAAAACAAGCACAGAACTCAAAAATCAAAATGACAGCGTCAGCAGATACAAGCTCCGCTACAGCTTTGGGGTTTCTTCACTGTTTCAAGTTTCTCCCATAATTTTATTTTTTTCCGGATATGTGATTGTGAATTAAGATCAGACATACAACAAACTTGTTCATTTCATTCGACTCAATTCAATCTCTTTACCCAACGTCTTGTGAGACTTCACTAAACCCTATCATCATATAAATTATATTTTAATTTACAATAATTATTTTGTATCATAATTTAATATTTGTTTAATTATTAATAAATTTATTATCAAAATATTTTTCTTATTATTTCACTAATTTTGTCCTTTAATTTTTATAATTTCATTTTTTAATATACATACTTATCTTTTTTAATCCCTAAATTTAAAATTATTTTTTAAATTTTTGTGCTTACAATTTTTTAATTTTTTTAATTTCTTTTGTTTATTTTTTTTAACGCTTATTTTTTTTTTACTTGATAAAAATTTTAAATATTAAGAGGATAAAAAAGTTATCTCACCAATAAATATCAAATACGAAAATATTTTAAAAAAATTAATTTAGAGTAATTCTAATAAAATAAATTGGACTACAAAATTAAATTAATATCTCACTTCAATACAAAAAAAATATTTTAAAAAATAATTATTAATAATTATTAAAAGAATTAAAAAAGATCTATCTTAAATTATATGGATGAATAGTAAATAAAATATATATTTAAAAGAAAAAACATTCATAATGTATAATTTAGAAAATAAAGTCATCATTCACTTGTATGTTATAATGCTGGAAAAAAAACTTTTATGTTTTAATTTATAGTATAAAAGTATATTATAAATAAAATGTTAATTACTTTTTCCTTATAATTTCATAAATTTTAATATTTTGTAATTAAAAATATTTTTTTAATCTTATACATATTATTTTTTTCACTTTTAATCTTATCGTCTATTTTTATAAAATTAAATGTAAAATTTAGGTAATTATAAAGATTAAAAATAAAATTAAAAAAATTATAAATAAAATGTAGAGTAATTAAACATTTATTATTTAAAATTGATTTGTTTGTAATCTTCACGTTTTTTTTTAATTAGTGCTTCAATTATTAATTAATTGAATAACGAGTATCCGTGTGCGCGCTAGCGAAGAATGGATCCTGCTGGAAATTATTATGAAGAGGTCAATCGAGGAGGCCAGTCATCTTTGGACTAGAATTGAGTTTTGAAACCGAAAATATTGAAATTCTGGTATCAAAGTTCATTCTTAATTTCTGCATCTAATTTTATATATTTTGTTTTAGCATATTTATTTATTACTAAGATGAAGGAAGTATTGTGTGTCTTACTATTTTTTCATAAAAAAATATATAATAGGTGATTTTTCTTTTAAAAGAAAGTATAAGTGTACACGAGAAATTAGGGAGAAGTTTATCTGAGAAGTCTATGGCGGGAAAAAAAAAGAGAGAATAAAATAAAATAGGTTAAAAATCTATTTTAGTTCTTTATAATAATTGTTTGTTTCAATTTAGTTCCATTTTTATTTTTGAACTTAATTTGGTCCTTAATAAATTAATTGGTTGTAATGTTAGGCTTTTGTCCAAATTATTTAGACGAAATAAAATTAAAAAAATTATAAATAAATTTAAATAAATTTTTTAATTATAAAAATTAAGACATAAAATTCTTAAAAATATAGGGAAAAAAATAATTAAACCTGAATAAAATTTATAATAATATTTGTATAATGATAGAATTATTTACATAACAAATACGCATGCAAGTGTAAACAGAAGTATATAAAATAAGAAAAATAATAAATGCAAATTGCTTTTTAGAATGCAGAGTGAAAATCTTTATCTTTTAAATATGTTGTATTTGATCTCAAGTTCATGAAAAACCATCTACTGGGAAATTTAACTCTTTGTAAATGAATCTCAATATTTTAAGAGATATTAGTAATTAATTTTGAGCTAAAAAATATCTTGATTCACCCAAAGTATGAGAGAAAGGAAGGAAAAATTAAAAATAATAATAATAATAATAATAAATGTAACGTCATGTGATAGATACCGAAAAAAAAAAAAATAGGTGTAATTTGGACAAAAGAAAAAGTAAGCTTATTTAAAATATTTTTCATAAAATAATTTGATATATATATTTTGGAAATTTTGTGAGGTAAAGAGATGGAGTGTGGATATTGGAACTGTGTGTTATGGCTTATGGGTGAACCTAGGAACCATATCTTGTGGCCTTGTGGGTCTGGAATTCTGCTTCGTTGTTGTCAGGGCCCAATAACTCCAATGGGACTAAATGCATCTTCAACACAGATATTCAAGTCAGCTGTTAAATATAATTTTTTATAACATTGTTTTTTTTTTTTGGTACAATTCAACCAACTTTTTTCATCTAACAAAAAAAATTCGTTAAAGTTTCGTAATGAACCATACTATTTATTTCATTATTGTATATTTTATTATTATTCATCTTAATTTTAATTTAATATATTTGTATAATTAAATACGAAATTTTAATTAAATAAAAAATTAAATTAGGAATTAAGATGCATAAAAAATAATGCTGATTAAAAATGGGATTATATTGATCGAGATATATTTGTGTAAAAAGAAAGAACAATAAAGAAAAAGAAAACTTAAAAAAAAAAAAGAAGAAGAAGAAGAAAAAAGTAGATAACAAAATAAGAGATTTTTTATACAAATTATTGTGTATGAAATTTACCCAAAAATAAAAAAGTAATCCCAATTAAAAATGGGATTATAATTGAGTAAAAAAAAAGTCTAACTCAACTCATTGAAATATAGTTAAATAGATCAATTTGTGGGTCAATCTCAACTTATTTATACTCAAACGCAATGTTATTTCAACTTTACTAGTAATTTAACACAAATCGTTGGATTAATCG